TGCTTCTCGTGTAAAACTGAAAACACACTTTAATTCTTTTTTTTTTAGAAAAATATCACATGCTAGCAGCAGAAAAGTACGAGCATGTAAACGAAAATTTCGTTAAATTTAAATCTATGCTCCCGCGAAATAAAAGAGACCCGTAAAAATATTGTTTTTGATATTTTTTGCATGTGTTAAATTTTCAAAAATATTACATGCCAGTTGTAGAAAAGTACGAGCACGTTAATGAAAATGTTTTCTTTTATATCGTGCTTCCGCATTAAAGTAAAGGCTCGTAAAACTTTTTGGTTTGTTACATGTTATGCTGTTTTAAATTTCCAAAAATTTCAAGTGCTTCCGAAATCATGCGCATCAACATCTACCTGTTCGATTTGTAATGCTGTTCCTTTTCAACGAAGTAACTTGCGGTCGGGACCGGTACGGGATTATTTAACATCGCGTAACTTTTAACTCCAATTTTTCTTCGACTTATTTATGCATAAGTGATTTTTCAATATTTGGTAAGCTAACCATTTTTTAACGGTTACGGGATTCTTCAATATTTGGTTTGATGTTACTTTAAAATGTTTCCTGTTTTTCTCTATTCCTACTTTACCGTTCAGAAACTCTAAGTTCCTCCTGAAGGGGACAAATAATTTTAAAATTTTTCATTATTAATTGAACTTTTTAACCAATTTAGTATCTTTTTTCTTATCTTATGTCTTTGCTTACAAATTCATTTTGTTTGGTATGTATATTAGGTATTTGAATGAATGGGCACCAGTAGGAACATTTGAGTTTTCATTTCTGTTCAGATTTAACATCTTTTACAAGTTTGGACCCGTTGCCTGTATTTTATATTTCTTTAGGAATACGGTGCCTCTTGATTACATTATTTCTTATATTGCAAAAGTTAATGCCAGTTCTAAAAAACAAAATGTTTTTAATTCCATTAACGTTTTGAAACACAATTTGATTCCTGTTTCTTTCACCCTAAGTTGTACAAAAACTTTACATTTAATTCAATTAATGTTTGAATACGTAGTTAGATTCTTATTTTTTACAGCCTTAGTTAAACGTTAAATTTTTTAATAATTTAAATAAGCAGCATTGACAATCAACGCTGAAAAAAGCTTGTAAATTAAAAATCAATTTTTCTATCAAATCAACCACAATTACTTTATACTTTGAGATGTATCCATTGCATAATACAAATATCTGTTTGTTTAACAAAAAGCAATAATTTTTTTCATTAAAGCTACTTAAAATAAAGCGTAAAACTCAGACCAACAGCAAAAATGTTATTATGGTGAAACCAAAAAGTAGATTTTTGAAACTTTTGGTTTAATTATTATTAATTTAATATTGTTGCGGATCGTTGATACCT